AACCATATAAAAAAATCGATTTGGTCGAAACTGGTTTTGCGTAAAAATTCCCGTTTTTCTGTCATTTTTTTTTTTGTTTTTCTCGATTTTTTTAAAAACTGTTGGAAAATGTTTACTTTTGATCTTTATGATGCACCAATGATCTTCAATTTTACATCGGAAACCACCGYCAAAGTTTGAAATCGAAACATTATTTCGACTAGTTATGCTGTACACAGACACACACCAAAAAAAACACACACATCATTGTAAAATCAATACATTCATCACTTCGTTCAGAATCTAAAATGTATTATTCCGGTATACTGTAATACTGTACCATATCAGTATTTCGGTATACCGAAACGTTTCGGTTTCGGTATATCGTTTCAAACCGGTATTGAAATCAATCCCGTAATACMGAAATTTATTTTCAATACCGTCATTCGTCAGTTCTTATAGCGTAGCCTAAGCCAGTTTGTGCATAGTTGTAAACTATAATAGCATAAATACGTAATTATCGTATCATAATATATTTAATGTATATATTTCTTACAAGTGTTTCAAACGAATTAAACGAGTTATAAATAAATTTGTATTAAGTATTACTATTAATTTTTTAGTTTTCGTTTTGTTGACTTAAAATGATAATATGTCACTGTAACGCAGTTTGGTGTCACCTGTACTAATGTATGCCGTATCTGTTTTATTTTAGTTTTTACAAATATGGTTCATTGGTACATAAATGTAACTATTCACATGTGCATAATATAACAGACATAACTTGACMTATAAACTATACATACAAATGTAACTGTTTTCGTGACAAGGACTAGGACACTAGGTATATAAACTTGTAATGCATATTTTATTTTTAATAATTCAATGTTATTGTTTACACATACACAATGTCTTATTGATTCCCAATGTGCTCAATTAAGTGTCTCATAATTAATTTTTTGATATATAGAAAAAGTTAAAATAAAATACCATAGGTATAGTTTTACTCCATTATATAGTTTATATTTATTTTAATTATTCAAGTATTATTGAACAGCACAACAGTGCATTTTGATAAAAAATTATAACATTTTTTTTTTTTGTGATAAGGTATTTTTTGGAACTGCTCATGCACGAGTGTATTTAATGGCTGATCTTGTTGGAGCTATATGCCATACAGGTATGTCAACACTATTGCGTAAGCAAGCAATGGATGAATGTGGTGGCTTACAAGCATTTGCCAGTTATCTTGCTGAAGATTATTTTATGGCCAAATTGGTAGTTGCCCGAGGTTGGCGCACWACTATAAGTGGTCGGCCTGCATTACAAAATAATGGAGGCAGTGAACTTAGTAAATTTCAAGATCGTCTAAGAAGGTATTGTATTATAGATATTTTTTATTTTTATTTAATTTAATTAATGATCAAATAACTATATTTATTTTTTCAAAGAAGATTTCATGAATAAGTATTCATTAATTTATTGCAGGTGGGTCAAACTTAGGATAGCTATGGTACCACACACWATTGTGTTGGAACCATTATCTGAATGTCTGATATTAGGCGCATGTGCTGCATGGGCTGCTAATACACTTTCTGGTGGTTCAATTGATCCATATGCATTCTACATGATACATGTGCTTGTTTGGTTCTTATTAGATTGGATTCTCTTAAATGTGATGCAGGTACTTTTAACATATATTTTAATTTTGAATTTAATATTGCATACTGTATCTTTTAAATAATTAAGCAAAGTTGAAGGTTTTTTAAAATRATTTATCAAATTAAAAATAACTTTTATTAATTTGGTTGTTAAAATGTTCTATGATAAATTTTAAACTATTGAAGGTATACATATTCTAATATTTACATTTTTCATTTGATAGTATGTTTTATTCTATGATTCATTTCAGAAATTATAATACATTTTTATTGAATGTAAAAATATATTTTTAGTATTCCACTAACTAGCATTAGTATTTTATTTGGGTTTAAGGTTAAATTTATATTTTCATATATATTTTCATCATCAATATTAATTTAATGGCTAAATGCTGTCCAAGATGATCATAATCAAAAGTCAGTTGTTAGTTATAATTAACYATTAAAATACAGTGGAACCTCAATAACTCGTATCGTTTAGGGGTAGAAAAAATATTTGAGTTATCAAAATTTTGACTTATAAAKGTTCAAGTTATTGAAGTTTTACAGTACATTGTAAGGCAAGGACTAAGGCATTCCTTTGAGTCATCAAAAATTTGACTCATAGAGGTTCGAGTTATCGAAGTTCCACCATATTATAACTCATAAAAAAAAAGTTGCCTTAAGTATGTTTTAAGTTACCATTTGTGGTAACTTAATGATTATGTTTAGYTTTGACTTTAAACTGATTTAATTTTGATTTCTTACATACCCAAATATTGTCAAAGAAATATGTGATCAAGCTTTTTTACAGTGAATTTTTGTCTTTGGTTTATTTAACACTGGTATAATGTTAAATGAAACATATTAATTATATATAAACATAGTAAAAAAAGTAAAGAAAAAAAGAAAACTGGATTAAACACAATAAGTTTCCTTAATGAGATAAAAAAGGTCAATGTCTGTTACTTTGTTGCCTATATTGAATAGGAATAGACTAGACTATATCAATGGARTTTTAATTTTTTAAATAAATGAATAGTTGATATTAAATACTTATTTTCAAACTCCTTACAATTTTAATATCAGATGTGGTTGTAGAAATATAATTTACTTACCGATGGTTTATTTTTACCTGAATGTAATATTATAACACCTAAACATATGATTAGTACAAACTATGTACTATAAAAAAGTATAATCTTATAATTTATAATAATTGAAATTAAATACTGTTTAAAAATGAGAAATATACCTTTTAAGTTTAAGATTGTAGAAAAAATTGACTATTTGTTTGTGTTTTRAATTCCAGAATGGGCCTTTGCCGTTTACAAAATTTGAGTACTTAGTTGCTTGGTTGTATAGAGAGTTCATGGGACCATACTTGTTTTTAACAGCAGTCTTATGGCGCCCATCTGTTGTTACATGGACCACACGACAATATCGCTTACGTTGGGGTGGTCTATCAGAAATTTATAACCAACACTCAACAAGCTCTAGCTCAGATTCCATAACTGCCACTGTGCCTATAGCAACTACTACCAGTGTCACTTATGACACAACTGTGCCTAATAATTATTGTAGTACTCACCAGCAGCAACCACCAAATGGTATTGGGTTCACATCAAAAATTAAAGTTTAAAAAAAGCATACGGCTACCTAAAAACTTTTTTACGAATTTATTTTTAAAACTAAGATAATAATTTACCTTCAATTTAAGAATAACCAAAATACAATGATCTGAAAAATATTTTTGATGTTACGTGCCTTTTGAAAATCTATGTATAAACTGTAATATATAATGTTATAATTTTGTATTAAAATAATAAATAAAATATATTATGTAATATATGTTTACAGTTTATCCAAAGATGAAGTGTTTATCAATATTTTTGTGACATTTTGTTCAATTTAACTTGTGGTTTTTTCCTAAGGGTTATTATAGTTCAAATTTCGGAAATGATTCAGATTTTGTTACATGCACATGTGCTCAAAAACAATTTTTTTTTACATGTTTTAACAATAAATAAGAACACAACTTAATTTTGATTTATCATATTCTTTCCTGTAACTTAGAAATGAAGCATATGAGACCTAGTATAAGTTTTTAAGTATGGTCATTTTATTTAATATTTAAATTTTTATGAAAAATAAATAAAAATGTATTGTTGATATTTAATATATTTTCATTAATTACAATTTATTAACAATATATTGTTTGATAACTCAATGACTATTGACTAATTAGTATTATAAATGTGAAATATAAATTGTCAACTAATTGTAGAATATTATGCTTAAATGTTAAGTTTTCATATCCCTAAAAATGACTCGGTCAATTATAATCACTTMGTCTAATGAAAACGGATTATATTAGGGGATACTATAGATGATTTAAATATGATAGTTGTGTTCAAATTTGTTTTTAAAATTAAGCCTGCTATAATAATTTAAAAAAAAAATAATAATAAATGCTCATATACTTACCATAAGTTAATTATTTAATCATTTCTAAAATGTGAAATACAAAATAATATCTAGTCCGGAAAAAWTATTAATGTCATTCTACAAAAATATTTGATATCAAATTTATCTTTTGATACATTGTAAATATTACACGTATATAAATTTCTAACAATGTTGGTTTTCATTATTTTTTGTTTAATTTATTTTTAAACATTGAATTCCTCGAAATTAATGAAAGTTATAATATTGTTTCTCTACCAGGGGTGGACTGGTCCAYTGTCCTACTGTTTTGTAGGATGTAGGATAATACGTCCTTGTACTACGGGGTCTTTCATCAATAAGCACCAAGTGGGTATAACTAAGGGATTATATTTCTAAAATCTTTATTATTGTCAATCGTGATTTCTGAATTTGATAATAGAGTACTTATGTATTGCGCACAATATATTTTATTTTTTTTATTCATAGATAATTATAGATAATGTTGAATTGCTATACTGTGTTTCAATAAAATTGGTTTTTATTCTATGGTGCTGTAGACCTGTAGTGTATTGTCTTAAGAAGACGTCGCACCCGTATGTGTCGTCTCTGTATTTACACACGTATTACATAACAAATTTTCGTTCTCTAGTTTCAATAGCGTGCTGTTAGTTTTGATATTACAGTGAAGTTGATCCATTATCTAAATTTTAGGTAAGCGTAGAAACACGATTGTGCCCGTCCTACCATTTTAAGTGCAAAAMTCACTACACGATTACGCCCAATAAATCAGCACGATTGCGCTCCACAATACAGGTATAGGTACACTATTTAAAAATACCGCCAGAATGGTTAACTCAAAATTGAAGTTAAAAACTTTAGTTCACCAACTTCAACTGTATTAATATATGATATTATAAACATTTGTCATATTTTTTTTTCTATAGACGTATTTTCCTCTACCTATATACGGTCAAAACATAAAGAGTGAAATYGCTAAATAATAAATAATTACCAGGTATCTTAGTAATTGTTGTTGTGTAGTATAGTTGGTTAACTAGAACTTTTAACTTCAAATTTGAATTTACCATTCCGACTGTGTTTTCTGTATTTTTAAATAGTACCTACCTATATACCTATATATTACTGAGCGCAATCGTGTTGAGTTTTTATAGATAAAAAAGTAAGACGAGCRTAATCGTGTTACAGCTTAGGTAAGAAMATTATCTGCAGTGTTCTCTGGTTGGTTTTTTACGAAAGTATTTTAATTTTTGAATGAGTTTGTAGAGTATAAATTTTTGAAAATGCACATAACTCATTTGAAAAATTAAAATATATTATCTTAAAATACCAACGAGAGAACACAGATAATGTTCTTACCTTAAAGTTTGAAAATGGTTAAATTTACTCTAATATCAAAATTAACAGCACACTATTGAAACTAGAGGATGAAAATTTATTATGTAGGTAGTATTGTAGTACGTGTGTAAGACGGAGACACGKTGATGTCGCGGGTGCGACGTCCTCTTAGAACTAATTCTAAAATRGTCGATTGTTATAGAATATCGCCAATATAAAGGAGTAAAATATTGGGATTTGGTGTGTATTATTAATATAAATAATAACATAAACGTATTATATATAGACATTTATTGTTAACAGTATAAATCGTAATGACGTACAATATATTTCTACTCGCTAATAACCGATGGACAGTYCCCACCGATCGTAATATGRTACTTATGATTATTGTTAGTATAAACAGTATAGGTGTAATATCATAATATAAATGCTGAATATGCAACATCTTTTTCCTTAAAAAAAATATAAATAGTATTTTGTGTATTATTAAATCGCTATGTTAGTGTGTTAGTAAGTTTAATTATATTAATTATAATCACTTGGGGAATATCGCTGAGGTGGTTTTCTAGATCTAATTGGTCTGGGTGTTTTATTTATTATTATAGTATCAGGATTTTGTTTTGCACCTATACGGTTTCGATATTTTCAGTATTTTCGTTTATTTGTCTAGTGGGTGTAAGTGAAATTGAATTATTCGCTGGTGTCAGCGATTTATGCATGAGTAATTGATCATTGTGTCTCTTACAAATAGTTCCGTCATCRAGCTATACATCGTGTGTATTACAACTAATTGATTTGATAATTTTACCCTTTTGCCATTATTATTGTCATTATTCCTATAATCTCTAGCTAAAACATTATCAACTGTATTAAATGATACTATCCTATTACCCCCATTGTTTATTTGTGATATTTGTCGTTCAATAACCACTTCATTTGTTTTCGGCATTAACGCGTCTAATTGTAAACGYGTTGATCGACCTAACATTAGYTTAGCTGGCGTTTCTCGTGTTGTTGAATGAGGTGTATTAAGATACATCAAAAGAAATTTATTTAATTGGGATTGTGCAGTCGAGCATATAAAAAAAAAATTGTTTATTGTTTTGACTGCTGATTCCGCACAGCCGTTTGTGGGTGAAATGGAGCCTGTCATATGCCTTATACCTACCTAGATTTTTGCAATATGCTTGAAATTCAAAACCTGTGAAACATTTTGCTCCATCTGATGTAATTGTTTTTTGAATTTCCAAATCGTGCTATCGTTTCTGAAAATTTTTGAATAACAATTTCTGCTGTCATAGAATTTATTTGAAATACTTCTAACCATTTTGTGGTTGCGTCAACACTGACAAAAAAATATTTGTTTTGAAATAGTCCAAGAAAATCGCAATGCACTCTAGTCTACGGGTTTTCTGGCCATTTCCAAGGTGGTGTTATAGATTTTAGCAAGGCTGGGCAAGTTAATTTTTTTTAACTCAGTTAAGT